AGCTCCCATATATAGTTTCGTCCGATTTTATGTAAATGGTGTACCAAAGTCCCTATATAGCATAGAGTACTAAATTGGGTCTAGAATGATGTGTGCTGAGTTTAGTGAAAATCGGTTCAGATTTAGATATAGCTCCCATATATAGTCTAGAATGATGTGTGCTGAGTCTCGTGAACGTCGGTTCAGGTTTAGATATAGCTCCCATATATAGTTTCGTCCGATTTTATTTAAATAGTGCACCAAAGTCCCTATATGTCTATCGATTTGCACTAAATGTGGGATAGCGTACTTAATTAAGTACAGAATGATGTGTGTTAAGTTTCGTGAAAATCGGTTCAGATTTAATATAGCTCCCATATATATTTTCCTCCGATTTAGTAGAAATGGTCCACCAAAGTCCCTATATATCTTTCGATTTGCACGAAATTTGGCATAGCTTACTGAATTGAGCCTAGAATGATGTGTTTAGTTTCGTGAAAAACGGGCTTGATGTAGATATAGCTCCCATATATAGTTTCGTTCGATTTTATGTAAATGGTGTACCAAAGTCCCTATATATATCTTTCGATTTGTGCGAAATTTGGCATAGCGTACTGAATTGAGTCTAGAATGATGTCTGCTAAGCTGCGTAAAAATCGGTTCAGATTTAGATATAGCTCCCATATATATTTGACGGTATAGCCTTTTGAAATTGGTGCAGATGCAGGCACAGCTTCCATATATATTTCAAAAGGGTATCTGATTGAGATTAAATTTACGTAAATAAAATCGGTACATAAATTTTTCCCATTGTACGCAAACAACTGTAAACTTGCGCGAATGAAATGAAATTTAGCATAGGCTCCAGAAACATCACATATTCAACTTTATTCAATTTCATGTCAATGTTCTTTCGAAAAGGCGGAGTCTGTTGGGAGACATATGGAGAATATACCCAAAGTGGTGAAGGGTGTCATATAGTCGGTCCAGACCGACTTTACTACTTTCCTTTCTGGTTTAGGTTTCAATAAAACAAAAATTACCACCATTACAGAAACAGTGACAAATTCAATAACTACTCTACAACAATCGTCAGTTACCAATCACGAAGGCAGGAGAACGTATGTGCACTTCAACATTTTTCTGATATGATATTCAACATTAACGTTGATAATTGTAACATCTCTAATTATATCTTAAGAGCAATTCAATTTTAATGAAATTTCAACTAATTTCTCAAATATCTCTTAAATTGTGGAATTAATACTATTTTCAAATTGATTCATGGAAAGACAGCACATGTTAATAGAAAAATATTAATTTAATCTGATAAAAAATTAAATTTGGCAATCTAAAAACAAATGGGTATATCATATTTGCATCACTTAATCTACTATTCGATTTTAAATTTACTTTTTTTTTCTCATGTTGTTATTTACGTTTTAGTAGAAAATGTACAAACATTCGTACACTTTCGCATGCATGTTTTAGCAAAAGTTGTCTAAAACCTTCAACATTGATTTACTAAATTCAATTTTATGCGAAGAAGTTTATTACTCCTCAAGATCTCAGAATGCCAAATTACAGTCACTTCGGCGGGAAAATGTGGCCAGGACCACCTAAAACCTGAAATGAAACGGGACCCTGACAGAACCCTGAATTTTTGCCATCATTATCACTGAATTGTGACTATTCTAGAAATTTATGTTCCTTCCCTCTATTAATTATTTCGATTAATGTTATTCCATGTATGTTCCCAAAATACAAACAACATAAAATTATCAGATGACTGTTAATTTATGAATAAGAATTACCATTCTTTGCGGTCGTTCACGATTACCAGAGTTGTAGTTGTTGTTTTCCAATTTTCATTGAAATATCTTAGCTAGAACCATTGTTATTGACGTTTTAGTAGAAAATTTACAAACTTTCGCACGCCACTGTATATGCTTAAGGCTAAAACCTTCAACATTGATTTATATTGACAATTTTATGTGAAGAAGTTTATTACTTCTCAAGAACTCAGAATGTAAAATTACAGCCACTACGGTGGGAAAAAGTCGTCAGGACCTCCTAAAACCTGAAATGAAACGGGACACTGACTTGTGACTATTCTTGAAATTGATGGTCCTTCCCTCGATTAATTATATCGATTAATGTTATTCCATCTATGTTCCCAAAATAAAAACACCATAAAATTATCAGATGACTGTTATTTTAAGAATTTGCGTAAATATATTTCGACCAAAAATTTTTGTCTTCACAGGTCGTTAATTCTTCACAAGGGCGATCTACTGACAACCTCAAACTATTCTCAAGGCTTTATTGTGACGAAGCCTTCCAGTTCCTTCGACGGTTTAAAGACAATTTAAATGGTAACACGCATTACTCTACCTTTCAAAATACCTTTGTATTTTGTAAATAAAACCAAAGTGTAAAACATTTTTGTAAAATTAATTAACAATATTTAACCCCTGGGCCCATTCTCTTTCGCTTATCCATCACTTTTTTTTGCCTTTCATATTTTTGTGAATAAATTATATCCTTTCATTGACAGACAAACCCATGTGGACACATGCCGATATGCCAAAGGAACGATATGCCTATATAAATGGTACCGTCCACTTTGAATGCGAAGCTGTGGCCGAACCACCAGGCAATTTCACCTGGTATCGCAACAAAAAACAAATCACCAACGACAAACACTATCACATCGAGCACGATAATTACATTTCCATATTGCATATCCATGCCCTGGACGATGGCGTGTTCGCCACATACAAGTGCAAGGTTAAAAATCACTTGGGCTCCATTGAACGCTCAATCACGCTGAAACGTGGCGAAAAGCCACCAACACCACTTCCCCTGCAATTGCGTGGCCTCAATTCCCATACATTCGATATTGAGTTGTCGACCCCAAAGAACGTCACCACCAAGCCGATGATGGGCGTAAATCGCATTGAATACATAACGGAATTGCAATTCAAGAAGGATGCCGGTCAGTGGTCCAATGCCAAGCATAAAGATTTTGCTTACGCCAGTGGTAAGTGGATTATGGCCAACTTATGGGCCAGAGTCACTTCGACAGTATTTTCATTAAATCTAACCATAATCGTGTCGTTCGTTTGTTTCCTTTTTTTTTGGGTTTATCCGCAGGTGCCACATTCCTGCTTAACAATCTGGAGGAGAACACCACTTATCTGGTACGTGCCGCTTCGCGTAACGTTGCTGGCTTCAGTGACTGGACTCGTGTGGAGAAGTTACGCACCAAATACAATCAGACCAGCGGTTCATCGTCCAACGTTTGCTCGTCGTTTACCCACATCTTGTGTTTCGTGTTGGTGGCCTTAATGTTAAGCTCGGATCTAACATTTGCCAATCCCATTACAGCTTTTCTGCGGGGAGCTCGTCAAATCACAATACCTTTGGGTAGTCATGGGATAGTGGGTGATGGGACTGATGGTGGTCGTTTGTGAGTTTATCAACAGCAGCATCATTGTCATCATCGTAGTCGCCATCTTCATTCGGGTGCTGTTTACTTTTAATTTTAAGTGACCGCCATGCAAAAACGTTGCAGTGCAGTGGATAGCGGTCCTTAGTTTATATTCGCTCACTTTTTTACTATTTTTCCTCATTGTCATCGTCAATTTGTCTTTATAGTTTACTTTAAGCTTTGTCATTTTTTCTTTTGTCATGGATAAACTCCTTAAGTTAGTCCAATGGGTAAGTCGCTGCTGTCGTGGTCCCTTGGTTCCTGGCATATTAACATCTTGTCCTGGTGTTGTTTAACAACTTGATTTGTTCTGGCCTCGATTTTACGTTTACAGGGCGATTTCTTTTATTGTAGATTTTTATAATTTCGTTTTTCTTTATTTTTGTCTTTGCATTTCAAATGAAGTAAATGGCGATAAAAAAGTGGAAAAAAGTATTTAGTCGACTTATATCTAAAATTGTATTTAAGTTAAGCAAAACTTTTTTTATGTTAAGTATTCAAACAAATTAAGTATTCTATTAAAACAAATCATTAACAATGACGATACGAATTGCAAATTGTGTTGAAGAAAAAAAGACGAAGAATGTTTGTTTTGTTACATTTGGCATTCTTAAACCCAAAACAATTAGGGTTCTATTAACATTTTGGGTTCTTTTTCAACTTTTATGAAGCCCATCCTACTAAATTTAAGAAACATGCTTAGTGTAATTAAGACAAGATAATAAAATGAAGATTTGTATTTTTTTGGCTTTTCCTAAAGAATATGGACCAGTCAATTTTAGATGTAAAAATATTAAGAAATTTTAAAAAATATTTTAATTGTGTGTTAAATCTCACAATTAGTCGTTGTATAGTCAAAATACATCTATTAAATTATATCATCCACATCCACTGATTTGGTGACTGGAATATTTAATATAAGGTCCCTGGACTATACGATGAGTGATCCATTCATTGAGTATATTTGCTATATAGCCTCCTGTGTGACATCCTCCATGATGGAAGTATTCACATATTTAATGGCAATTTAGACTTGTTTTTCTGTTCGTTGAAATTGCAATAGAGATCACAATATTTAAGATAGAGTTTAAAAATTTTAGACATACATTGCTACTACTCCTAGGATGTTTGGTATATCACCCATAAAGCGGTAAAACCCCCTTTTCGGTATTTTTAAGTAATGTTGAAATTCCAATCGAAGGATCTGCAATTGACATTTCTATTTTATGGAGGGTGGCATGTATCTACCCAAAACTTACCTTCAAAATACCACTTTTCGGACTTTAAGGTTTTAGTCGTATTTTTCCGTCAGAAATACCTTGGTGGAGAAAAGACCAAGTACATATTCCTGTCCATTTAAGGCTTTTTTGCAGCATTTTCAAACCGAAGCGACTGTAAATTGACTTTTCGGGTACAAGGTCCATGTTCAGATGTAGTCTCCAAATAAAGTTTTCGACCCGTTTTTTAACCGCATTTTCTAACCTAATTGACTCAATTTGACATTATGGGTGCTTTTTTTGGGCAGCAATATAAAGGTTCCGGTCCATTTCGGCATATTGAAAGTTTTAGCAGTGTTTTTATTATTTATGGCTCTAAATTGGCTTTTCGGGAATTTTTGCAGACAAATTTCGATATAGGATGTCCGACCAAATTTTCATTAGTTTGAAGGCCTTTGCCTCGCCGTTTGACAGACCGCTCTCAATGTTCGACCCATTATGTCGATGTCATCGGCGTAGGCGAGTAACTGGTGTTGTTTGGTGTACAGAGTGCAATTTCTGTTCACCTTTGCCTCTCGTATGTCCTTTTCCAGCAGAATGTTAAAAAAGTCACACGACAAACTGTCACTTTGTCTGAATCCTCGTTCGGTAGGGCTCCGAGAGGTCCATTCCGACTTTAACTGCTAATCTTGTGCCAGTAAAAGTTATCCTGCATAGCCGAATTAATTTTGCAGGAATGGCACAGACATGGATTTAAACACCTCTGAACGGATAGGGCTACCGAATGCGGCTTTATAGAATAGACGAATTGGTGGAATGTGTCGATGTATTTTGGTGGGTTTTTTTAGGATTTGGCGCAGAGTGAAAATCTGGTCAATGGTTGACTTGCTAGGTCTGAAGCCGCATTGGTATGGTCCAATAATGTCGTTGACCATTGGTTTCAGTCGTTCACACAAAACGCTGGATAGCACTTATTCCTCTATAGTAAGAATCCAAATTACCAAATTATAGCCAAGTAGGTTGAAAAACGTGTCCCAAATCCCCAAAATACCGAATATGGTACCATCAATGCATAATGAAAACCCGAAAAAACTGAACTACAGCCACCTCGATTGAAACAAGTGACAAAAATCAGCATAATATTGGGAGGTACCGGTAAATGGGTGCTACCCTGAAACATGGGTCAATATTAATAATTTAATTTTTAAATGCAATGAGAACCCAAAATATCAAATTACAGCCAGTTCGGTTGAAAAGCGAAGAACTTATTCTGATCAAGAATATATACTTTATGGGGTCTCCGGCGAATATTTGGAAGTGATGTAATGACAAATTTAATATAAACTTCACATTATGGTGAAGGGTATAAAAAGTTGTCATTTTTTATATGTTCGTCTTTCTAATCGGTCAACGTTTAGATGTAGTTCCAAATGCTTTGTATAATTCGCCCGACCCGAACAATTTAATAAATTAGCATTTCTGAGGATGCATCACATATGTGCTATTTTATCCCCTTTTGGGACATATCGAATTAGTAATTTTCACATACAATAAGTCGATATTACTATGTTTTCATGGTCCTTTTGTACTTTAAGTAGCTTCTAACTCATATATCCTACGTCAAATGATGAAGCGTATAAAACCCCAACCACACCGCAGCAATTTTGGGCATGGTAATCTTGGTAACCACATAGGAATATAGCTTGACTGACATTTGACATCCAGAATGAGAGGCAGCGTCCTACTATACTATTTTGCTTTATTGGACAAATTGAATTTTATCGATGGTTTATTGGACCATAAAATACCTTTAATCAATAAAAAAACACCTCCAAACATCTGACTTCCGCATCCGGTTAATTTTGGTTCTGTCCAAATTTAAATTTGCTTTATTGGACAAATCGAATTTTCTTCTGATGGTTTATGGGACAAAAAATATCCCTAATCAATAAAAAAAAACACCTCCAAACATCTGACTTCCGCATCCGGTTAATTTTGGTTCTGTCCAAATTTAAAGGAACTACAAGACTTTTAAGTGGTATATTTATCTTCTATCTATAGACTGACTAAAGGCCATCTACGAAAAATTCCATAAGTGCTTAACATTAGGTTTTTTATCCTCTGAGAATTTCAAACTGTCAATTGCTAGAAAATATTGTTTGATCTTTCAAAATATTTAAAATTCTGTTATATATTAAAAATTCTGCTATATATATATATATATATATATATATACAGGCACTCTTATTTCGTAAGAGTGCCTGTATATATTATTAATTAGGCCACAGTCACATCATCGGAGCAACATTGCAACTAAATCCGATATATCGTGTTTAATAACAAATAGTTTGGGAGTACTAAGTATTACGAACAGGCCCAAATTGAATTACCATGAAATTTTCGTAGGACTTCCTTCTATGGACTTTTTGGATTATTATCTCTTTAGCTCTATTCTTATTTTCAATACCTTGCAAAAAATAGTTTATGCTATTATCAGACTTAGTTCCTTCTAATTTAATACTACATTTTAACGTATTTCTGTCACTCCATTCGAAATTGCCGTCTATTTCAAAAATTCAAAAAAACTTCGTTAAGTTCAATATTGCCTTCGGACAATTGACAAAATGTTTATTAATTTGCAATTCAATTTTGTGACGTTTTAATAGAGTTCTTACCTAACCGATAATCTATTTTAAAAACAATTAATGTTATTTTTATAAATAAAATCTAAACAAACCAAAAATAATATTAAAAATATATATTTACATAAAAATATATACACATCTTTATTGATATTGATATCGTCTGTGACTTAAGAAGATGTCATAACAATCAAAAGTGTCCATCATTATTTTCTTTAACAAATTTGCAATTACCATGAACATCAACAACAGCCTTAAGTGTACTTTAATATAGACATACAAACAAACATACTTACATTATGATTTCATTCATTCCATATATATATGAATTTTGTCAAAGTGCTTTATTATTATGGTAACATAATTATAACAAATATTTATATAATATTAAAATAATGTTTATTCCAATTAAAGTTAGAAAATATTCCAAACATTTATATTGTAAAAACATACAAACATACGTACATACGTACGAGTACATACAGAAATCAGTTGATTCATATAAACATAATTATGGATATTAATTGCCAATATGAATATAAAATATTAATAATACTGACATACATCTATCTTTATATTATATAATAACATACATAAATACACACCTATAAACATATGTAGTACTATAACACAAAAATAATTAATAGTATTATTTGTAATTGCAAAATATTATTAAAATAGCAACAACAACAAAAAAACAATTCCCACAATGATCCATACATAAGCCAAATAGAATGAAATGAATAAAATGCCAAATTAAAATCAATAGAATAAATTAACCGCAAAGAGATGAATTTTTATTATTATTATATAGTTAACAATAACAACACTAACAATAGTTTATAAATGGTTATATTATAATTAAATTAAATCACATATATTCGTACATATGTTCAATACAAAGAAGAAAAAAATCCAGTGTCTATAATCCCACATGGTGCCTAAATTTTTTGTTGTAACAAAATATTGGAGGAAAGTAAGATTACTCTTTATTTATGGAATGCGACGAAGTTCTTAGAAAAGTTAAATACTATCCATAATAGTACCATAGAATTCCATTTATTATGGATATAGATGGCAATGGGAAAATACCCAAAGGGTAAATACCCGGTAAATTTGGTGAA